TTACCAGAGAATAGCCTATGGGAAACTACAGGTTAATGAAAGGAACTTTGTAACGAATAACCTGAACGAAACACTCGGTAGTCAATACTGCAATATATCAAACAAACTGGCCTTGATCCAAAATTATTTTTAAGGCGTTACGGATTAAAAGAAAAAACCAAAACCACGTTGATAACCGTTAGGCTGCAAACAGGACCTTACCGATAACAGAAAAGAAAAATGTGTGAATTATGCATCCTGGTTTATGGTGGAAAAACACAGCCAAGGGGGGAAAAACATGCAATCCTTACATGCACAAATATCACGTTTAGATAAACTGGTGTAAGAAAGAGATATCTGAAGACTGCTTTGTTAACTAGAGAAGCTGTCCTGTGGTTCAGTATTGAACCCTGCGCTAGCCCGTCTTCCCAAAACCCCAGCAAGAGATCACATCTTGTTTCTCCTCCGACTCCCCTTTGCTTAGCACTAGGTAAGTGATGGGACAAGTCCTCCTAAGGCCACTGAAGTTCCTGCAGCTTGCTCCATCTTAAACTGATCCTCAGAGAGCATTAATCATTATTCCCGAGTTAGACTGCTATATTTAGGACAAGTAGGTTCTGTTGCTTTACATCATACTCATTTTGGAAATCCTGGTCTTTCAAATGATTTGTAATAACAGGAAGCGAGGATATTTTATTTCTAGTCTTACTGGGTCATGAGAAAGAAGACTAAAATAGACGCCAGCCTCTTGCATAACCCTTTTGCACCGTTCAGCATCAGAGACCTCATGCTTCTGACAAGCGCCACGCAAAGTTACTGGTTTTCTTTAAAGAAGGCTTTCCCTGCCCAAATTTACAAGAGGCATTGACACACATAGAACACGTGGGAAAAACTGAAGCAGGGCAGTTGGTAAGAGCTGAAAGCAATTTACAAAAAAAAAAAAAAAAAAAAGAGTACATTTAAAAAAACAGCCCTCTGATACAAATAAAGCGAAAGGTCCCCAAAAGCCTTACCAAGATGAGAATTTCCTTTCCGGTAACTGCCGGTCACATGAGTGCAGCTGCTCCCATCTCCTTGGCAAACTCCACATTTATCCAAGGTGTGGGTGGAAAAGAGAATGCCATCGCATCCAATCGGCTAAAAAATGCACAAATAGAGTATTGAGGGTCAGGCAAATGTCGCACCCATTGTAATTTTCTGAATGCTACTGACAATATTTTTGCTATAATGTTTAACAACCTCACATTTTCCAGACACGCAAACCCCTCGGAAATCAGTGTATTTGCAGGATGTTCCATCCCGAGCCTGAACCATTAACTGTCTCTGACCATCCACAGTGGTGCAATGGAGGTCACAGGGCTTGCTAGAAATGTGAACATAGTCATCTAAGGGGAAAGGATATAAAGATATATTCAAAACAGCAGAAACACAATAACTTTCATCCTACCAATGTCAATGAATCTCTGCCAAGCTAAACAACAGCAGCAACAGCACAATTGCACAGCAGCCAGCAGTTCAGAAGCTACCATCTCTTGCGTTTCAGGCTGGACAGGAGATCGCACTTCTGACAGCGTGACAGCCCACCGCTGCAAACCTTTGCACAGCCAGGCAGTCCTCTCCGCTGCCAGGAATAGATGCACCTAGTGATGCTAGCGGTATCACTAACATCAGCCCAGGGGATGCACTGAAGCAGTAACAGCCACTATTCTGTGCAAGGACTTGCAGTAGTGCTATACGTACACATTACACAAAGACATGCATGTTCACATATCAACATTTAATACATGAGTTAAATTAACTTCGATATATTGTTATAAATACACGTACAAGTAAGACTATATTCAAAACCGTAGCAGCCTAAAACATACGAACTTTTCCATAAACATTCACCCAAGTTGGACTTAATTCGCCCTTTGCTTTCTGCAGGCAACTGGCCGGCTGCACCCACTGGCACAGTAGTCCCACATTTTATAATATCCACAGGAAGCAAATGACAAATTCATATTTGCGTCAGAAACCCAATGCTAAGCGTTGAACTCCGCCAACTAGTGAGCGGTCATATACCCACTGGCCTGCGTGCCCAAGCAAGACAGCATCAATGTCAAAACATTATTCTGCAAATCCCCCAGGAGCCACGTGAACGCCTGCTAAAAAACAAAACAATTCACTGTAACTATTCCGGTGAATCATCTTGAAGAGCAAATGTGTTTAAAGAAATTGTCACCTTGCCATAGGAAAGGGACCAAAGCAGCCAAGTAGCTATAGCTAACCAGCCTGCCACGGGCCAAGTTCTACCACGCTGACCCTGCCAAGAAGGCTGGAGAGACAGGGGCTTTTTTCACATAAAAGGAGGCAACAAGTAATTTCATGAAGCGTAATTGTTCTTAGGTATGTACAGAGACCCCTAAAATAAGAAAGCTGCAGTAGATCCCATCTCTATTTTTAGACACCCAAATGGCACTGTGAATCTGAAGAACCAGCTCTCAGGAGCCTTCTCCTCAGGAGGAGGGTCCTGGGTTCCCAACAGCTCTAAAAATTGGCCATGATTTTTGTTTAATGCTTGATTTTGATGGGAGTTAGGTGCCTAAAAATTAACTAAAATCTCAGTCTCTGACTCCCAAGTTATTTCTGCAGTTCTGCGTCGCTCACCCTGAACGACCAAACTGACTGGCCGCATCTCGGTGACATTTGACAGAGCACGTGAAGAGTGTGGGAGTGAGCAAATGTCACCGAAACACAACGCAGCCAGTAATGGCCCCAGCTCAAAGGACACTTGTTTGGGTGAGCCGGGCTCTCCCTGCCAGCGCAGTCCATCACCCCATGCTCTCGCATCCTCCTCCAGCCTTTCAGCCCTCCGGTCCTCAGGAGCTGTGACCAACACAGGCTACAGCCATAAATTCATCTTGGTATTTTATTTTCAAGCTACCCTTCAGCTGCAAAACACACCTTTGAACTTGGGAGACAGCTGATTGCATCTCTGAAAAGTCACTTTAAAACAGCAGAGGAGGAGCCTTCCTGCAGGCTATAGCATCATAACTATCAAAATATTTTGGCTAAGCATTATGAAACACACAAAGAATGTCTTGTTACCAGGATATAAAGGTTTCCATTGATACGTTCTGCCGTTATACACATGGGAGTTAAATGATGAACACTGCTCCTCTCGAAAGCTCCTTCCGTTTGCAGGGCACTCCTAGAATGGGATACATTAATATCCTGATGAAAACAAAATGTGGGAAAGGTTTCTGGCACATCTCGACCGGCTGCAAGGAGCGTTTCCATCACCTGCCCCATCCAGAGCCACATCCTCCTCCTCCCACTGCAGGGACAGCCAGGAGAAACCCCCCCGGGAGATGGTGCAAGAACCACCCGCTGGGTTTTATGGCCCCCAGTGCAGGAAAAAGGCCCAAAGCCCCAACACAATGGTGATGGGCACCGAAGAAGGGAACTCCAGTTGCTTAGAGGGGTAATGGGATGACAGCTACAGGACAAATGGTGTCCCCTCTCCAAGGGGCCCAGAAATGCCATTACACGAAGCAAGTATGACTTTCCACATTTTGTATCGAGTGTTCCCAATGAGAAAAAGGATATCCTTACTTGTACTTTGCAGAGCTGGTATCTTTTGGATGTTCCAGTGCAAGTTTTATTAGCCAGCCCACTCACTGACTTTCTTCTGAATAAAGAAATGATGGTTAGACAGGGGTCAGAAACCCTTCTTTTCCCTTTTTTAAATATATTTGTCCCCTGCTCCTGTAAGATTGGTCCCCATGTAGCAGAGCCACACAGACATCTATCACAGCCTCACTGGAGTTGATAGCAAAGGTCTCTCTGACTTTGTTACCTGCAGCATCAACTCTTCTTACTACAGCATCCTAGGAGGTATCAAGGGGACGAGGGCCTGGGGACAAGGTTTGCAAGGTGCCTTCTGGCAACCACACAGCCCGGAGAGGGCAGAGCCATGCACACAGCAGCCAGGATCAGCAGGTCCCCAACCAACCCTGCACCACGGTGTCCTCGCTGCTGTGGCCAGAAGCCTTGAGAACGGGCTTACGCTATGTCTGCTGCCCATCTGCACTAATCCTCGCAGGAGAAACTTCAGGGCCAGCACAGGAATAGCTTGGCTGGTCCTCCTGGCAGGGATGCCCAGAGCACAGCATCCTCACGGCAGCGTGCTCAGGGACATACTTACCTTCTGCACAAGCAGGGTTTGCCAGACATCACCTTTTCACCAGTGCTTATCTACTGAGCGATGACCTTCTGGATCAAGTCTACCTCCAGCAAGCTGGAGTTCCCCACTCCCTGGCAGGCGGGCGCCGTACCTCTGCCGCAGGCAGTGCCTCTCCTGGGACTTCACGCCTCCCCCGCAGGTCCTGGTGCACGCCGTCCACTTGGTCCACTCGCCCCACCAGTACGCGGTGACGTCTGCCCCTTCCTCCAGGCTGTTGGAGGTCTGCGTCAGGTCCTGCTTGAAGCACCAGGCAGGTGGGGGAGAGAAGCAGCAGTCAGCATCCGCACCGCAGAGCCTGCGCGGGTGGCCTGAGGGCATCCCCCGCCCAGCCTGCCCTGAGGAACAGGGCATTTCCTTCTCCATCTGAGGTCAAGTCTGAGATTTCCATCTTGCAAGAAACCCTGCATTTTTCCAATTGTGTTTTCATTACAAATTGGAATGAAATGGCAATATTTGGGATTCCTCAGGAAAGGAAATGTTCATTGTTTCACTCAGTTGGCAAAACGGAGCTCCCAAACACCACTAAACCCTCCAAGTCTTTTGGTGCTCTCTGACTCTTGCTCCACAGTGAATTCAGGGAGCTGAAGAGCCAGCTGCGGCTGAAAGCTTCACCGAAAGCTTAAGCAAACCCTTGCAAAACCACTCTGCAGCGGGAGAGCACGCCAGTGGATGCTAGCAGGCTGGAGACCCCATGTGCTCTCTTTGCAAGTACAGGTTTGTCACTTCAGGAGGGTCCTTGACACCCCCACCTCCCACCCCCCCAGCCACTGCAGGCAGCAGTGTGACCATGCATCAGAGGGCAAAGGAGCTGCTCCACCAGCAGTGTCACCACCACATGCCTGCACTCGGTAAGGCGTTCGCAAGGGGCACAGAACCTCCTGGGGGGTCCCAGCTATTGCGCGTTGCGGGGGGGGGGGGGTGCATTTTGCCCGCCACACAGC